GTAATACCACCAGGTCTGCCTGTAGGTGGTCTTATGGAACACCTCATTTCTACAGAGCCTGTTGCAACCTGTATAAAGTATATTAAATTAATGGTTGCTAGTGTGGAATTGATTTGGTAAAAGCACACCTGCCTGGACGATATTCACCACAAAGTGGGATCATGTGAAAATGAGGTAAGGGACCCTGAAAGGTACCTATGAAAATATTCAACCTCTGTATAATCTAATAAAATTGGTAAAGATAGCTACAGGGGGTAGGTGAAAATCCGTAGATGAAGAGATTGCCAGATCATGCAAGTAATGAGAGATAAAAGTATTGAGAGAAGTTCACATACCAATCCACACAATGACCCCCAGTGGGCAATTCAACCTGGCTGCTAAGGACATAGAAATGTGACAAATCTGATTAGACGTGACTTGCAGAAGATTCCTGGCCTTCAAAGAGAGCCTAGAATAAAACGTCATTGTCTTGCATCCCTAAAGCCATTAGTGCAGGCAACAAAACCTTCAAAACCCTCACTGAACATGACCATGATTGAAACCTGATCGGACCTAGATGTGAGAAATAGTGATCAAATGAATTGGTAAAATGATTTATCCCATTCTGTGTCTGACAATGTCTTGGGTAAGAAGAACCAGTCTGAGGACAAAGAGAGAATGAGAATGTGGTCTGTGGACAAACACTGCAAATCATCCCTGCCGATGATGCCTGTAAGTCAGCAGCCATGAAAAATAAACCGTCAGGTAAAGGTAGATATATGGCATGTAAGAGTCAGGTGTTGAGAAAGAACATGTAATGTAACTTTCAAATACCTGTTAGGCAACTGGAATGGTCATTTGGGAACAAAGATCTAAAACAACTTGAGGACTGGGAACTCAAAGAATATGTAATTATGAGAACCGAATGGGAGTCGATAAGTCTGCCTTAAACAGTGATTGTGGAAGATGCAAAATCTCTGCCAAAGAGCCAGGTCAAAAAAACTAGTTATGGTTGGCACTTCTGATCGAAATGGGTTCAACCTCCTCTCAATACACCATTGCCGATGTGTGTGTGTCATTTCTGTTGAGAAATGTTCATTTCAGGATGAAGCAAAAACTGAGACAAATACATGGCAACCCTAGAAATTAAACCATAAGGTGTACCATGTCAGATCATGTCTGCCTCACAGAGATAGCCTAAGAAGAAATGGAAGAGGTGGACACTCCAGACACTGCAAAAACAGAAACCAGGGTGTAGCAGCCATCTGGTGCTATCAACAGGACCCGACAATGGAATGGAACAAATCATATTTAGTATCCTGGGTAAAATATGAAGTGGACGGATGGCCTAGAGTTGTAATCTTGTCCTAACGAATGCATCCACTACCAAAGCCTGAAGATGGGGAACTGGAGACCACATTGTAGTTGGGTGATCCAATGAGAGACCAACCCACAAATCAGAGTTGCAAAATGGGAGCCAATCCAATAGAATCTTGCAATGCAGCATCTATTCTGTCAGGAGAATCTGTTTCAATTGAGACAATTTACATGCTACTGCTGGCATCACCTGTGAAACATGGCATGCTAGCAGAGTGATAAGATAAGAATGGTCCTGAGAATGGAGATCCAAAATTTGAAAAGATGGAGCCCTGGACCAAGTGCCTCCTAGATGAGAAATACAAGACACTACCATAGAATTGTCACAGTGAAGCCTGACAATTTTCCCCTTAATAAAATGAGACTATGAAGCATTGCCTTTTGAAGAGGAAGAAGGACGAAAACATTGTGTAGGGAAGCCTCTTCATATGTGCATAAACCCTGGAATTCCTGATTGTTGGTATAGGAAACCCATATCTGAAGCAAGGCATTCAGGAAGAAATGGAACTCTGGACATTGTGACAGTAGAGGAAATCATATTGTAGTAGTGTTTTGACTTAACAACCACTACAGATCAAAGAAAGATCCACATTAAGGAAACTGGGGAATCCAGTGAATCAATGTTTATCATCTCTTGGTCACATAAAAACCATTAAAAGGATCTCTTGTGCTCTCATCCTAAAAGCATCAGGGATGCAAGTGATGTCCCCATTCCCAGAAGAGAAGGAACCATCCATTCAGTGGGAGAAGGAGAGGTGAGTAAGAGTCGGGCAACCTATTCAACAGACTCAGCTAGACTGAGAGATGAGTTGAAAAGTAAAAAATACCCAAACGATGACATAGAAGTCTCAGCCTTGAAAATGAAGGATGTGATGGTCTGACAACTGACGAGATGGTGCCAACAGTAACCAGTCATCCATGTAATGGTGTGTGCACAGTGCAATAGAATGGAAGTGATGATAAAAAACTCATATGATACAGCAGAACCCTTGTGAAGCTGATGAGACACCAAAGATAAAAACCTGGAATTGCAGTACCTGACCCTTTTGCAATACAAACTCCGATAGTGGTGGTACTCCATCACTATGGGAATGTGCAGATAAGAGACATCTATAATCCCAGTAAAAAATGTTAAGATTGAGGAATGAGTAAGTTGTGAACCTTGGAGAATGGAGGCATTGATACAAAGGAAAAAGATTGATGACTGAACACCAATCTCCTGTTTGCATAGGCCCAACATCTGACAGAATAAAACCTCTGAAGAACTAGCACAATAAGTTTGGTATCAAACTGTAGATTATAATTCATGTTTTCATATTATACATTACTTAATATCTTAGTTTAAAAGTATATATTTGTGTGTCACGTGGTATGTGGAATGCAGCACTGATTCAAATTAGATGTTTGTGATGTCAGAATACAAAGTCTATAGTTTTGTACGAAATAAAAACTCAAATTGCCGATATTGACAAGCTAGAAAATAAAATAAAACCTCCTATTTTTCTATTTGCTGAGATAACACTTATGTACTGAATCAAACTCAGCGGCCTGGCTCACCTCTTTCCATTTTTGGAAATGGTTCCTTATATACACTTACTTCTATATACGACATGTGAATAACCAATCAAAAGCTCAGAATGTCCCCAAGTGGCTTTCTCAGCCATTTTGAAATATAACGGTGTCATCTCTTTCTTTCGAGACAAAACTTCGTACTGGTAAGTTCAGTCTTTAGCCTGTTCAAAATTTCATATATTTTTGGACCCAAATACAGCTTAGTTACTAAAATTGATGAATTATAATGGAATTCTATGGTATCGATATAGTAATTTATGATTTTTTGGTATTCAAATGTATATCTAAAACCTAAATAAAATGATATCGTTTTGCATCTTCTACGTGCAAAATTTCTTAAAGCTTAGAAAGCTACAACAAGCAGCAACTGAGTACAAAGGTCGTAATTAGAGCAGATAATTGTTTGCTTTACTTCTTTATTTACTGTTCTACGTTTTATGAAAAATAAGTTTCAAAATGTGTTTGTAAATGATAATAATCTATATACATATATAATGTATAATAATTGAAATGTGACTGTATTTTACAAAATACTAGTCCACTAAAACACAGCCAAGACAGCTAACTTTGTAAAGACTAAAGGTCAGTTTTATATTATCGGATATGGTAACATGAGTGCATGTGTACCTCATCATTGTAACTTCTGTATTGTTAGCCAAGTATGGCTGAGAGATCTATATAATAAAAATTATAAATATATATAAATGTATAATGTTATGAGATTTAATCTATTTAGTCTAAACATTTGTGTTTTTGTGTTATAATTTATAGTCATTCTAGAACAAAAAAGGCATCATTTATATTTATTTCCTAATATTTTATGGTGGTTACAAGATCAGTCAAATCTACTGAACCTGTGCAGTGATTCATTAGTGAAAATAACAGATAAAGTATAAAATTTTTTCTTAAGAAACATTTGATAACTACCTGGACATTATAAGGATTTTGCATGTGAAATTTGAAAATTTTCTGATGCATAAAAGTATTTTTAATCTTAAAATGAAAATTACTTTACATGTTGGATAGGCAACATGAGAAGAAAAAAAAGGCACGAGAAAAACTTTAAGACTTAATAAAAAAATTTGATATTTTGCTTATGACAGCATTGTTATGTCTACTGATAATTTGCCAAATTTTGTGAACTTAAAAGTTATAGCATGAAAACAAGCACAAAATGGTCATGAGGTCAGTTCCAGGGAGTGAGCCTGTGCTGAAAGAGTTAAAAAATGTTAAAAGATTAGTAAGGCAAAATTTTTCTCTAGTGAAACTATGCTAAGTATTCAACAAAATTTAAAATTTTGTTAAATGACTTTGCAAAGCATCTATTATCAGACTTTCAAAAAATGAAGATGTGTTGAATCAGTGCATCCTAATCATTACAAGTTTATATTTCATAACATCACATACTCCTAGATGGAGCAGTATATTAAATTGGCTATATTAATTATTGAGTTGATTGTTAATTGTGATCATGTATAGAGCTTGCTTTGATTGGAAATTAATGATAATATAACAGTTACAGCATTCAATGACATATAATTTAGAAAATTATCCTTTCTATTTATCATTAAAACTCAAATTTCAAAATTGGTATGCAACTCAAATGCTGTAACAGGGTCAAACTATAACACTATAACCTTATGTTGCAGTATTGGTTTCAATTTGCCATTACACACTTAACACTCCCATGTACAAGATGGGTTAAGTTTGTGTAATCCACATAAACATTTAACTAATTTTTTTATGTTTAATAAAAAATAAGCAGCCAATTTAAATTGTATTTTTGCATTTCAGCAGAAACTGAAAACAATATAATGAATAATGTGAATATTTATATTTTATTTTGTAAAGAAAGAAATGTAGCTGAAAGATCCCAAAATACATAACAAGTAAGAAGTAACTTCCAACCATTTGTTTCAATGACACAAACACTTTAAGCCAGATAGGTCAAAGTCTGCAATTGTCAGACTGGTTGACATTTTCTGGAAACAACTTGCAATATGCCATAGCATACTCTTCAGGTATCCACAGATTCATTTTATTTATATAAGTAATAAAAACCAAAAACCCACCTCTTCTTGAACTAATGACTGATTCTGTCTCTGTACATGTTGAGTCACAAAGGTTATCCACCAAATGGCTACTGTGTAAATACAAACAAATATCATGTCAGTAAACCAATCAATAGTCTGTAACAGTTAGCTTATACACAACATTTACTTTACTGCCACAATGCAAATTTGACTAGTATTTCAAATGCAAAATATACAATTGACACTTACTGGTAAGATGGTGGTCTCAGATCATGAGGTCCCCCAGTCCTGTCCATTGGACTTCTGACATCACATCTATCAGTACACTGAGAAGTTCCATCAGAAGCATTACTGCCTTCTGCTGTAACAAGCTGAAAAAGAAAATCATGTTGAATATCAAAGCGCATAAAGTCATTTGATACACAATACTATTCTCATCGTTTATGTCAGTGTTTCCCTACATAGGATAGAAGACAATGTATGTTTTCCACCTTTTTTTGTTAAGAAGTTAAATTTTAAACAGTTATTTCCCACAGTTTTATAGTTTGATACAGAGAGGTGCTAAAGTGAATTAGTAGCTTCAACTTCCTTCATGTGGCTACCCGAGTTCCTTGTGAAGCCTGCTTATCTGATTCTCTTATAGGAATAAACTAAAATTTAATGGGTGAGCCAAGTTATTCTTGTTGGCGAATCAGTAACAGTTGGAAATGGAATTAGCCTTGATATTCACTGCCCACTGACCAATTGATACAATAAAAACCAATCACTGTTTTCTTGTGTTAGAAATTTAAGGGTTTACTAACATATTTAAGACTGTTTGGGCTTGGGAAAGCAGATTTAACACATATTTTAAAAAATTTTACAGTTTTTAGAGAATTTATACAACTTTCCTGCATACTCAATAAACATTTTACACTTTTAAACAGATTGACTTTCTGTTATTTACATAGTTGTGATTCAGTAAGCATTCACCACAAACCTTCAGTTTCTGCCATATTTCTTTGTACTTTTATTTCAAGTTGAGTTTTGTTGCACCTCTTTTGTTTTCTCACTCAGGCTGGGGTCTGTTTTTGTTAAATGCAAGCTAACTTAGAGCATAGCATTGGCCCCACTGTTCAAGGTTTGAAGTGATTTTGTAGATTTGGTGGAGAGTGAGTGTGATCTTGAATTTTGCATTGAATACCTATATAGTATAAAGTAGTTTTCACTTAATTATTTTCATATAGTGTTCTGTGCAACTTTTTCCTCTTCTTTTAGTTTAACTTGCAAGGGGGGCTTACATGCACTGACCAGAGCTTCACTTTTATTAAATTCTTCAACTCATGTCAGTCATACATAAAATATCACACTTTTATTGTTGTTTCATACTTCTAGCAATGTTTTATTTATTTTTCTGTAATTTGTGAAGATCAATAAATACTGTCTTGTGTGTTGATGTGGGTCTTGTTTCATTCTTTGTGACATCTGTTGCAACTCATTGGGAAATAAGCACTAATGCCTGAGGTTCGAGAATCTGAAGAGTACACCAGGCAAATTGCAGAAATGCTAATTTTTTGCATCAAGTGAGGTGTATCATCTGACAGAAAATCAGCTGTTAAAAGGTCCCAAGAGCACAGGAGACTGAGGAATTAGAGCCATCTGGAGCAACTCAGTTGTGGAGCCCATGGGATGAAAAGTTTCAAAGAAAGCAGTGGGCAAGCCAGGCATTCTAAGATCCAGTAAGGGTAATTTCTTTAGAAACCCTTGGCCATCACCAGCCATTGAATTAGAATACAACATCTGGTCAATGTCTCCACTAGAAGTGAGGTACAATATATCGGTGGTGGACAAGCTTGAGCTCCACCACCAAAAGTTTTTTCATCAACAAGCAAGACAGCCCATTGACCAAATTGGTACCTGGTGGCTAAAGATTCATAATGAGATGAGGGGCTGACAATTGAACCAGTGAATCAGAGGGCACTTTTGTTGGATGCAAGCTGCAAACAGGAGTTGCTTATTCGGTCAGTGAGATCACAAGCTCTAGTACAAAAGATCAACAATTGGTAATGATTATGGGAGCTTTTCTATAAAGAGATATAACCTCCCCACCGAGAGTTGAGCTCAATGAATGTTTGCATGACAGGTTACAAGGCAAGGATCCTCCTTGATAAGAGAAGTAACTGACTGCTGAATCCCAACTCATAGGTGGGCAGCTGTTCGTTGACAAGAGCTACCAATGAGTTACAGAGCTTCAGAAGATGAACTGGAAAACCCTCACCACAGACTACAGGAAATGGAGGGCCAGTTGGGAACCAATCCAAAAAGATATCCCATAGAGTACTTGGATGTCTTCATCAATGATCTAAAGTGCCTGCATAAGAAAGCATAACCTGCAATGGCACCTAGAGGTCACAAAAACATCCTTGTTCATAATTTCATCAAAGGACTGACTTCTAGTGAAGCAATGATACATCTCTTGGGAGTGTGAGATACCTATACCATAAAGAAGGCAGTCAGGAATAATGATGTTCCAAGTGGTCACCTCAGACAGATAACTGCCAGAAGAGAGAGTTGATGGAAGCAGCAGCCATGTCTCTTCAAAGTATGAGTCACCCAATCTGAGGTGGTGCTCAATACCAAAGTTGGACTCTGCAGAGAATGGAGCCATAAGAAGTAAAATAAGCCACTGGAATACAAACTGGTTAGTATTCATCACACCTGAGGCAGCCAGTACTGTACCTCCCTCAAAAGTTGCTTTGGAGGGGGTGACCCACTCATTCACTAAGAGGCACATTTTGCCTAGTTGCAAGACAGACAGACACTTCCATCTCAACCAAACTGCATGAGAAGTGCAGTATGGTCAGTAATGACTGTGGCAGTTGTTGCTGTGACAGAAGCTTTGTGATAGTAATGGAGTCCAAGATGTGTTTGGCTACTGACTCAGAAGGGCACAACTGTCAGTTTTTTGCAGAAGGAAGTGGTAGTCTCCCTTAATCAGTGATCAAACCCAACTTGGACAAGATATGCATGATTGAGCTATAGAATTCCTGGTGAACAGAGGAATTTCACAAACCTTGGTAGACACTGCTTTGTATCACGCACTCTGACTGAAGCCACCACTCTTGCAAGTGGACATGCAAATCATCCTGGTAAATTGTGACAGAAAGTAGGAGAGGCACATCTCCGAATATGTATGGGCTCCATGATACATAAAATGAAGATAGTGATTGCAGATCTAGGGTCTGGGATTGGAATACTAGGGATAAATGTACTATGAAAGCTCTCAGCCATGTTGCTTATGCAATAGATGAGTTTTGGTGGGAAGTCCTTCCAAAGTCAATCCAAACCTAATAAGGAGCAGTGGGCTATTTGAGTATATCTAGAGGAGAGAACTGTAGTACTCTCAGACATTCAAGTTGTAAGATGTAGTTTACAGTGAACATGATCTTGTACTTTGGCTTCATGTAATGTGGTTGTTGAATCAAAGTACATAGCCTACAGTTTCCTGTCTAGCAAGCAGGCAGTGTTAGCAGAGGTTGTAATACAGCTGGCAGGGGCAGTGTTCCAATGTTACTTTACAACTGTAATCAATCACCACTATGTTTCCTGCTGTAATGGTCATTGGTATACCAAGCAGCTTGAAGGTAGACCATACTAGCTGCAATGCTAAGGTTGTTTCCATCATACCATTCTGAAAACTCATACTCTTCTCCTAGCTCACCTAAAATTGCTAGTTGAGGATTACAATGCCAGTCTCTGTGATCTACTGGATAAGTAGGCTGATATATATTTGTTGGACTGAATGAGTAAAACAACCATGGCTTCCCTGAGGCAAAAGGGAAATAGGCATTGATGATATGACTCTGACGTAAAAGCACAGGTTCCTCCAGCCCTCCTAGAATACATGTTATTTCCCCAGTGGTAATTGTTAGGATGAAGGATGGCATCCACAGTTTGTGTTGATTTCCATTCAATGCTCATTGATGCATTCCTGTTGCTGTGGATAGATGAATGTCTGAATGCACCGGAAGGTTCCCTGTGATTCAAAATTTTAGAACTGGCCTTCAGAATTGGTAATTTGAGCAGGATGATGATAGCATGGCCAAAATTGCTATCGGCATTCAAGATGGAATGTTCAAAGTTGTGCCCTTCAGACTTTGCAGCATTCCAGCTTCCTTCAAAAGGTTGATAAAGCCAATTCTTAAGGGTCTGAAATTGGTGAGATGTGTATGTAAATGATATCTTCCAGTCTCATACACTTCACATGCTTCAGTCTTATTGCATCATCATCACAAGTGCAATATTTTGCAAATGTTATGATTCCTATACATACTTTTTCTCAGAAACCATGTGAACAAATTTACATATGAAACAAGAATGAGGGGTTAAACTAGCTTCAAATAGCTTCACAGTCTATGATCAGGAAATATGTACACCACATGACAATTACTACAAAAAAAAGGGTCAAACTTCCTGTGACAAGGAGGACAGTCACAGTACACCAAGAAGTAAAATACTTAAACCAGGAGTATCAGGAAAATATTTACATCTAGTGACTGGGGTATAGTAGAACCAAAAAGTTCAACATGGTCTGAAGAATTAATAGTTGGACGAATCTCTCATGGATCTGAAAAATAAACACTTCATCTTCAGGGCCAAGAATATAACAAACCATGAAATCTGAGTCAAATCTGGATGGGGCATTGCAAGATGTGAAACTGTACAAGCAGTACTTCCACATCAAACAACATTAGAAGGTGCATGAAGTCTGATGTTAAATTCTCACATAAAGTCAGCTTACCATCTCCCTTACAAGAGCTGTACAATTGAAGCTGTGAAGGCCTTTCAATTAATCAATGCCAAAGATTGCATGACTTGCAGAATATTAATATACCTTCTCGAGGAGAGCTCGTGACTCAGGCCAACCAAATAAAATATCTCATTAGATTGATACTGGAAATGCAACTCCAAAAAGTCATTTATCCAAATGACTCAAATTTGCAAAACAGATTGAAGTTCTCAAAGAGAGAGAAACCATTAAGGGACAAGTAATAATATAACTGAGTACTGTTTGATGGATATTACCAGTTTTATTTGTGAAGAAAGATGGATGCATAAGGTTCTGTATAGACTACTGGAAAGTGGATGAAGTCACAAATAAGGATGCATCTTCACTGACAATGGTTGACTATTTTGGATGCTTTATCTAAATCAAAATAATTTTCAACATTGGATCTTAAAAGTGGATATTGGCAAGTGCATGTCCACAAAGAAAATTCAGTGAAAGCAACCATTACCAAAAATATTATTTAATGCACCTGCTAGAATTCAACTATTATTGACAAGCTGGAATATAAAATAAGAACCTCCTATCTTCTCAATTTTTGAGATA